GATCCTGCAGGATCTGGCGCCCTGGCTGACCCCCGTTTGCATTGACACCCGTCTCAAGGCTCCCGAACCCGGGCGGACGTTCACTTGCCGGGGGCGTGGCCCACAGGAGGGGCAAAGCAGCCAGGAGGTGCTCCAAACAAAGGGCCCTGCGGCTGCCGCCCCTCGACCCAGAGGCGGCGCGGGAAAGGTCAACCTTTCGGCGCATCCCCAGTCATTGCTCACCCCCCGTTTGAATTCCAACGTGGGTCTGTCACTGTAGAGAGGGTCATGCAACAAACGTTGAAACACGTATTATGACGATATGTGCATATGCAGTCTGGCAAATCGGGGCGGCATCGACACGACGCCAAGGGGCGTCGTGGACTCGAGACTTCGGCCTGGGTGACGGGGGGCCCCCGCCACCGTCCACCCGACTGGGCGTAGACGACTCGGGAGGGAGCCGAAGGTCCAAGCGGGACAGGCGCACACAATTTCTTACCACGGGAACCAGAGCAACGCATGCGCCGTCCTCGCCCTGAAACCTGGGAACCCCAGCTTGACTGCTTTGGAGGTGATGAATTCTGGAGCCCCTGGTGCTCTCCTCGGCCGACGCGTCGCGCGGCCACCCCCCGAGCCGAACCCACCCACCCCGGGAAGCCGCGCGCCCCCCACGGGGGCAAGCGCCTGCGCCTCGAGCCCCTGTCCCCTGGCATCGCCGAGGCTTCACGCCATACCGATCCCGTTGACGACGCCGCCGGAGTCGACTGGAAACGAGAGCGCGCGACGACGACGACCAGGAAGGCGGCGGCAGCGACGACCGGCGACGGCGGCGGCGATCACCGCCTCCGCTGGCGGCGGCGGCGGCGGCGGCGCATCGTCGCCGTCCGTCGTCGACGGCGGCCAGCGGCCGTCGTCGCGGCGTCGCCGCCGCCGCGGCGGCCGGCGGCGGACGCGACGCGGCGCGGCGCGGCGCGAGGCTCCGGCGGCGCCTCTGCGGGGGGCGCGTGCTCGCCGGTGGGGAGCCCCAGGCCTCCCCGGAAGGTGGCCGCGTGGCGCCCGAACCAGGCGACCTGGGCGGTTTCGGCGGCTCGCCGTCGCGGGCCGCCGCACTGCCGCCACGACGGCGACGCGCGAGGACCCGAGCCCCTGCAAGCAGGGTGTTAGTAAACGGGCGGGTAGCTGAGGGGGGATTTTCAATGGTGTTTCCGAAGACAAGGATTTGCCGAGCACACGTGCGAGGTAAACCCCCCCGCCCAGAGTTCTGATGCTGTCGCCCCGGTGCATCACGTGCTAGTGCGAGGTAGATGCCCTGTCGCCCCGTTCTCGCCTACAAGAGGCCCCTTCGCTGCCGCCCCGTTTACTGACGCCCCGCTTGCAGGGGCTCGGACGCCGGTCACGGTGACTGCCATGACAACGACATCGACGCACCACTGCGGCGGCCGACGCCCGACGGCGGCGGCGCCGTCGCTGCCGCCCCGGAGGTCCTGGCGTCGCCATTTTTTCACGGTGGGCGATTTTGCCCTGCTTCTGGCCCTGGGAGCCTCACGGACGGATCGATACGCCGCAGAAAAATAGAGTTCGGGGCTCCAGTCGAGTTCTCTTGCTGCGTTGCATTTTTTTGCAACGTCGGATCTCAGGGGACGCCGACGCCACCGCCGCCGCCGTCGTGGACGTCGTTGTCGTGGACGCCGCCGCCGCCGCCGACCTCGACTTCTCATGCTGAGGAAGTTCCTCCCCGATTCGCCGTCGCCGCCGCTGTCGTCGCTGTCGCCAGGGCCGCCCCCTCAGGGAGGAGCATCGGGGAAGGTTCTGGGATCCACGTTCGAGGTGCCCGGACTCTTTTGGACGCTTCTGGGCGCCGTTGAGGTCTCTGGAGGGGACCTCGGGGACCTCCAGATGCGGACGGCGTTGGTCGTCGTCGTCATCCTCGTCGTCGTCGTCGTCGCCGCCGCCGCCGCCGCCGTCGTCGTCGTCGTCGTCGTCGTCGTCGTCGTCGTCGTCGTCCGTCGTCGTCGTCGTCGTCGTCGTCGTCGTCGTCGTCGTCGTCGTCGTCGTCGTCCGTCGTCGTCGTCGTCGTTCATCGGCGTCGGCGTCGGCGTCGGCGTCGGCGTCATCGTCCGTTGTTTGCGATGTTCTGTTGTCGGAAGCTGCTTGCCAATCTCGGCGGTGTCTGTTTCCAGGGGGGGAGGAGGAGGAGGAGGAGGAGGAGGAGGAGGAGGAGGAGAGGGAGGAGGGAGGGAGGAAGGGAGGAGAGGAGGAGGAGAGGAGGGAAGGAGGTAGGAGGAGGAGGAGGAGGGAGGGAGGGAGGAGGGAGGAGGAGGAGGGGAGGGGGAGGGGGAGGAGGAGAGGAGGGAGGAGGAGGAGAAGGAGGAGTGAGAGGAGGAGGAGGAGGAGAGAGGAGGAGGAGGGGGCTTTCAGGCCCTGGGTAGAAGGGCGACCGGTTGTTACTGTGGCCCGTTGGGTGTTAGTGTGGCCCGTTGGGTGTTAGTGTGGCCCGTCGCGCGGCGGGATGGGAGTTACTGTGGCCCGCGCAGGCCGCTCAATGAAAAGTAATATGTAAAGGTATCTCATGTTAGATCTGGAGAGATTCGCAACCCCTAAGGGAATGCACTCCCGCGCAGGCAAAAGTGGCCACAGTAACTCCCACCTGGAACCAACGTGGTAGTAGTGCTGTGTTAGTGGTGTGGTGGTCGCTGTGCTGTGTTAGTGGTGTGGTGTTGGTAATGTTGTGTTAGTGGTGTGGTGTTGGTAGTGGCTGGTTGTGCTGTATGCTGTGTTAGTGGTGTGGTGTTGGTAGTGGTGTGCTGTGTTAGTGGTGTGGTGTTGGTAGTGTTGTGTTAGTGGTGTGGTGTTGGTAGTGTTGTTGAGTTGTTAGTAGGTAGTAGTGTTGTGGTAGTGGCAGTGGTGCTGTGGTAGTGGTGTTGTGGTAGCGGTGTTGTGGTGGTTGTGGTATTGTGGTAGCGGTGTAGTGGTGTTGTGGTAGCGGTGTTGTGGTGTTGTGGTACTGGTATTGTGGTAGTAGTGCTGTAGTGTGGTAGTACAATGGTGCTGTAGTGTTGGTGTTAGGTAATATCGTTCATAAGGAGTACTAGTCCTACGGAGTACTAGCCGCAGGGAGTGCTAGCCCCAGGGAGTACCAGTCCTAGGAATTACTACCCCTAGGGCGTACTCGTCCAAGGGAGTACTCGTCCTAGGGAGTACTCGCACTACGGAGTACCAGCCCTAGGGAATACTAGTCCTAGGGAGTGCTAGTCCGAGGGAGTGCTAGGAAGTACTGGCGCTAGGGAGTGCTAGCCCTAGGAAGTACTGGCGCTAGGGAGTGCTAGCCCTAGGGCGCTAGGGGCGACGAGAATAGTAATAGTAGTAGTAGTAGTAGTAGTAGTAGTAGTAGTAGTAGTAGTAGTAGTAGTAGTAGTAGTAGTAGTAGTAGTAGTAGTAGTAGTAGTAGTAGTAGTAGTAGTAGTAGTAGTAGTAGTAGTAGTAGTAGTAGTAGTAGTAGTATGTAGTAGTAGTAGTAGTAGTAGTAGTAGTAGTAGTAGTAGTAGTAGTAGTAGTAGTAGTAGTAGTAGTAGTAGTAGTAGTAGTAGTAGTAGTTGTTGTAGTCGTAGTAGTAGTAGTAGTAGTAGTAGTAGTAGTAGTAGTAGTGCTGGTAGTGGTGGTAGTAGGCGTAGTAGTAGTAGTAGTAGTAGTAGTAGTAGTAGTAGTAGTAGTAGTAGTAGTAGTAGTAGTAGTAGTAGTAGTAGTAGTAGTAGTAGTAGTAGTAGTAGTAGTAGTAGTAGTAGTAGTAGTAGTAGTAGTAGTATTAGTAATAGTAGTAGTAGTAGTAGAAGTAGTAGTAGTAGTAGTAGTAGTAGTAGTAGTAGTAGTAGTAGTAGTAGTAGTAGTAGTAGTAGTAGTAGTAGTAGTAGTAGTAGTAGTAGTAGTAGTAGGTAGTAGGTAGTAGTAGTAGTAGTAGTAGGTAGTAGTAGTAGTAGTAGTTTTAGTAGTAGTATTAGTAATACTATTGTAGTTTGATTGCATAGTAGTAGTAGTAGTAGTAGTAGTAGTAGTAGTAGTAGTAGTAGTAGTAGTAGTAGTAGTAGTAGTGGTAGTAGTAGTAGTAGTAGTAGTAGTAGTAGTAGTGGTAGTAGTAGTTGTAGTAGTAGTAGTAGTAGTAGTAGTAATTGTTGCCGTTGTTGTTGTTGTTGGTGTTGTTGTTGTTGTTGTTGTTGTTCTTGTGGTTGTTGTTGTTGGTGTTATTGTTGTTGTTGCTGTGTTTGTGCTTGTTGTTGTTGATGCTGATGTTGTCGTTGTTGCTGTTGTTGTTGGTAGTATTCTTCTTCTTCTTCCTCCTCCTCCTCCTCGTCCTCCACCCTCCACGCAACAGCAGATGTAGAGGCCACGGCCTCGCCCGCCCAGCCTTAGATAGGCCCACAGGATGCTCCGCATGGGTGGCTCGCTCACCCGCTTGCTCGCTCGGGGCGGGTCGCGCTCTGGTCGGCTGGCCCAGCTGGCCTGCGGGCGGGGTCCTGCTGGCCGAGCTCCTTGGTCGGGAGCCAACGCATTCCTCCACGGCCTCCCCGTCGAGGCGGCCCCCCCAGGGGCGGCACGCGAACAGCGGCCGCTCCTGGGGGGAGGGGGGGAGGAGGAGGAGGAGGAGGAGGAGGAGGAGGAGGAGGAGGAGGAGGAGGAGGAGGAGGAGAGAGGGAGGAGGAGGAGGAGGAGGAGGAGAGGAGGAGGAGGAGGAGGAGGAGGAGGAGGAGGAGTCGCAGGAGGAGGAGGAGGAGGAGTAGGGGGTGAGCCGGCCAGGGCGCCATCTTCGCTTCCTCTTCCCTCGTCTCCTCATTGCCGTCGGGGTGCCCGGCATCCTGCTCGCCTCGCGCAGTCGCTTTCAATCTTTGGGTTCCAGCTAGAACATTCAGTCGCTTAGAAAAGAGTGGAAACTCGGGGATACACCCGAAGGGGGCCATGAGGACGCATCCGTCATTATCGAGGATTGACGCCCCCCCATGTCCCCGAGTGGCTCCCCATTTTTCTGGGAGGAGCTCGCGGGCTTCTGCCACATGTGCCTCAAGCAGCCGCCGGACGCCCTCGAGTCGTGGATCGCCAACGCGCTCGGCAGGTGTTGGGGTTTCGCACGGGGGGGGTGTTCAGCCCATTGTGGGGTTTCGGAGCGAACCCAGCTTGAGGCTGATATTTACCTTCTCCAGGGGCAGTCGAGAGCGATTATCTTTCAACCCCACCTTTGTTCCTACCCCACCTGTGCGTACCCCCCCGAAGGTGGGAGGGCGAGGCCGTGGCGGTGTACGAGAACTGGTTCGCCGTCCGCCACGAGAGCGGCCGGGCCTACTACTGCCACAGGCTGCCCTGGGGAAGACAAGTTGTGCTTGCAATGATGGGCCTGTTTCCCACCACCACCACCACCACCATAAGTTGGAGGGGGGAAGGAGGTGGAGGATAGAGGAGGAGGCGGAGGAGGAGGAGGAGGAGGAGGAGGAGGAGGAGGACCCCCCCTCGTATTTATGGTGGTGGCGGTGGAAAACAAGCCCACCATGCAATCACGAGCATGGGGCGATATCCGGCCAGGCAACTGTGCGCCTTGTCTCAGAGGAGGGCGAGCCGAGGCAACGGTGGTTGGCCTTCGGGGGGGCCCTCGTCGCCACGGCGGGACGCAGCTCGGAAACTTGGTGTGCTTGGACCTGGGGCGGGGTCTGGGGACCGACCCTGAGCTGCCGCTGCCTCAACTCGCCCTGCTGGCTGACGTTCCTCAGACTAATCTCACCGAAGCGGATCGAAGCAGCCGAGCTCGGGATTCTTCTGGCCGGACGGTGGAGGCAGCGAGCCCGACCAGGGCGACCAGGTTGTCTGGCTCGAAGCGAAAGGCCGCAGATTGGGCTGTGCTCGCCAGAGCAGAGCTTCTGAGCCCCGAGACGGACCCAGCGCGCATTACCATTCGGCTGCCGTTGATTTGCCCCCTTCCACGAGGAGTTGGAGGAGGGAGGAGTGAGCCTAGCAGTGCAAGAGGGGGAGCAATAGTTGGGAGGGAGGGCTACCTCACCCGCAGGGGCGCGAATATGCACGTGTTCCACGCTTTGTGGCCGCCCTTCTCTAAACTCGGGCAGGTGGGAGCTTTTCATGCTCTTGTGCTTTCAGGCCGTTTGTGCTCATCTTCACGTTGAGGTCAGTGCCAATCCGCATTTGCCTGACGCACAAGAGGTCTTCTCTATGGATCCGAAGCGTGGACACATGGGATCAACCCGGTCCCCATCTTCTAATCCTTAGCAGCGTATTGGTACGCGAACCAAGGCTCCACCATCCAGAACATTTGGCGGCCTAAACCCGACCATTCTGAGCCTGGAGCGAAGATATTTCCCAGACACTGTGCCCCCATGTGCCCCCAGACGATCCCAGGCTTGTGCAGTTCCGAAGCCCCATTTTCGCATATAAGTCTTGCACCGCGCGTCTACCGGAGGTTGGGGGGGTGAGACCGCAGTGGAACGGAGAGCGCCCCACGGGGACATCGGTTTCAGTTTCGTGTTCGTGCCGTGCGTGCGGCGCGTGCGGGCGAGGCGAAGCTGCGCGTGCGCGTGAGCAGAACGACTCTGGCGTCGTTGGGGCGATTCGGATGCAGTGGACCGCCCCTACGCCCCCGGCGGGCGCACGGTGGCCCAGGGGTGTCCCGCCGCGGTGTCCCGCCGTGGTGTCCTGCCGTGGTGCCCTGTGGTGTCCCGTTGGTGCCCCGTTGGTGTCCGGTCGGTGTTCCGTCGGCGGAGGGCGGGCGCTGGCCGGGGGTGGTGTCCGGCCTTGGTATCGATAGTGACGTCGACACCAGAATCTTCGATCATGTTGGACACCGTCTTGAGCCATCTTCGGCTATCTTGAACCATCTGCGAGGCCACTTTGGAGCATCGGACGCCCTCTTGAAGCCATCTTGCGCCATCTCGGGCGCCCTGACCCACTATCATCAACATCATCACCATCATCATAACCACCGTCATCGTCACTATCATCATCACCACCATCTGCACCACCATGATTATTATTATCGGCTCCACCCCGACCATCATCATCAGCATCATCATCACCACCACCATCATCATCATCATCATCATCATCATCATCATCATCATTCTCATCATCATCGTCACCGTCATCATACTCATAATCACCATCAACAGCATCATTCATCACCATTGCCAGCATCATCATCGTCATCATCATCACCATCATCATCAGCAATCAACAGCAGCATCATCATAGTCGTCATTGCCATCATCATCACCACCATCACCATCCATGATTTTCATCATCACTCTCATATCACCACCGCTATCATTATCACCATCATCATTATCATCACCATCATCACCATCAGCATTATCATCTCCATCATCATCACCATCATCATCATCATCATCATTATCAGCACCATCACCGCCATCATCATGATCATCATCGTCATCATCATCACCTTCACCATCCCATTATCAACATCATCACCATCGTAGTCATTATCATCATCATCATCACCATCATCCGCACCATCTACCCACCATCATCATCATCATCAGCATCATCATCACCGCCATCATCATTATCATTATCATTATCATTGCCAGCATCATCATTTTCATCATCGTCAGCATCAGCCTCAGCATTATCATCATCATCACCATCATCACCATCACCGACATCATGATGAGGCTGATTATGCTGATGATGCTGATGATCATGATGCTGATGATGATGATGATGATGATGATGATGATGGTGATGATGATGGTGATGATGATTATGATGATGATGATCATGATGCTGATGATGCTGATGATGCTGATGATGATGATGATGTTGATGATGATGATGGTGATGATGATGATGATGATGATGATGATGATGATGATGATGATGATGATGATGATGATGATGATGATGATGATGATGATGATGATGATGATGATGTGTCCCAGAAACCTGTCTCCAGGGGTGTCTGGGTCTCTCCTCTCGTTCCCTCCCTGTCCTCCGCTGCTCTCCTGTGCCTCCGCAGCCTTTGGCTTTGATCTCGTGAGTTCCTGTACCGAGCGCAGAGTACCGATACGTCTCTGTTCTGCCCCTTTCCCCGATCCCAGTGTCCGCACCGCCTCCCGAGCCCTATCACAGTGGTAAGCGGAGCTGGTTCGAGGACCAGGTGACGAGCGAGGACGGCGACGGAGGCGACGGGCAACTGGACGAGAGACCAGGACTCCGAGATCTCGGCCCCTTGACGATCAAGGGGCATGTTGAACGAGGCCGAGACCCAGACCGACGAAGCCGATGACCGACGATTTTAAGAACGAGGGTCTGGAGAGGCAAGCACCGGCAGCCGGCGTGTTGCCGGCGGCTGGGGCTCAGACGAGTGGGGTGCCGGCTGGGGCTGGCGCTCCGAGAACGGGTGGTGGGACTCCGCATGGCAGTCCGACGGGAGTTGGGATTCCTGGCCCCCCCGTTCTCGAGATTTTGGATCACCTCCGACGTGGCTCGGGATGGAGCAGTTGGAACTCCGTCGACTCAATCTTACGGCGTGGTCGAAGCGAACGGGGCACGAGCTGACTTCTCAGGGGCCACGAGTCGTCGAGTCTCCTCCAGTGGAGCTTCAGATCAAGTTCAAGCCCATCTTCCCGACGCTCGGAGGCGCAGATGGCGTGGAGCGCGTCCTGGCGCGCCTCGCGATCCTGAACGGGGAAAGGCCGGGCGACCGTGAGCGGCTCTCGCACTCCCATGCGCTGTTCGAATACATGATCAGGAAAGGAGAGTCGCTCGCGGATTTCGTTTTGCGCAGAGATCAGCAGTCGACAGATGCCGAGACGAATGGCCTCCCTCTGCCCGACAATGTGAAGTCGCGCTTCCTAGAAGAAGGGGCCAACCTCTCGGCTCAGAATAAAATGAATCTTCGTGCAAAGGCGGGCGGCCGCACGGATTCGACCTCCATCCGGGCGGCCCTGTTGCAGATGGATGTCATAGAGCAGCGGGCGCCGCCGGCGACGCCGGCTCCTGTCGTGAAGGCCTTCGCTGAAACGGCATCCCCTCCTCCAGAGCCCTACAGCGGCTGCGAGATTGACGACGGCGACGCGATCGAGCTGCCCGAGGGCGAGGCCGAGGCCTTTCTGACGTCGGTCGAGGACCAGCAGCTCGACGAGGGGGGGGCGCTCCAGGTCTTCGCGGCCGTGATCGAGGAGAAGTACGGCGAGGAGAAGAGACGGACATGGACGGAGTCACGACGACTGAAGATGGCAAAGAAGACTGTTCGAGATTTCTTCGACGAGCGAAAGGCGGCCAGACCCGGCTTCAGAAGGCTCGGCGAGCAGGACATCAAGCGGCGCTCCCGATGCGCCAACTGTGGCCAGAAGGGTCACTGGGCGCAGGATTGCAGGAACCCCTATGTGTCGAAGGCTGGCCGGCTCACGAAGGAGAAGGAGCAGGTCAGGAAGCCCTTCTCCGGGTTCGGCGTCTTCTTCACGAACGACGAGGACGGCGCCTTCTCCGCCGTGGCCCTCGACTGGAGCTCGAAGGTGGTGGAGTTTTCTGTCCAAGAATGGCGACGCGCCGACGTTCGTGACCGTGGGGGATCTCGGATCGCACGCGCTGGTGGGCACGGCCGCGGCGCAGGCTCTGATCGGGGAGGCCGAGGCTGACGCTCTCGACGAGGCTCTTCGGGCTCGAGGGCACCGCATCCACTACGACTGGACGCCGCCGAAGGGCACCGCGGCCTTTGGCATCGGCGGCAAGGCGACCCCCGCCGGGAAGGCCTGGGTGCCCACTACGTTGGGCGGATGCGGCGTGGTGGAGTTCCTGAATCTGGGGCAGGCGTGCCCGCCGCTCCTACCGGCGAGGCTGCTCACCCACCTTCAGTGCGTGATCGACCTCCCCGGCAACGTCATTGTGGTGACCGACTCCGGCAAGCGCGCGAGGGTCCCCCTCGTGCAGCACTCGTCCGGCCGCCGCTCCGTGGACTTGGTGAGGGGCCCGGCCGAGCGCTTCCAGCTGGCTCCCGAGATCGAGGTGCGGATGCCCGCGTCTCGCTTGCTGGCGCAGGACCGCGCCGCAGCCTGCCCCGCGCGTGCCTGCAGTCTCCCTCCTCTCTCTTCCCTCCGAGGCCTGGGCTCCTGGGGGTCTTGGGGGCAGCGGGCCCAACCGTATGCTCTCGGCTCGGACCTCGGACGAGCTCGGTGGCGACTCAGGAGGCGGCGACGCCCGCGCAGGACCCGGGCAGCATGGCGTGGTCCCGTGGGGCAGCGAGCTCAGCGAGGGGATACAAGACGCACGGTCGTGCTTCGAAGTCCCCGGCTCCAGTCCGCAGCAAGCTTCGCAGGAGCAAGTCGGTG